CTGGAATTAATTATGCTTATATCGATATTTGAAGCTGACAATTTAGCAATAGATGTGGGTAGATTCTCTAAAAAAACGAACATTTCAGCAAAAAGTGAAGTTAGGAAATGCTACCCAGCGAATTATTAGATGAATAGAGTCTTCACGGTGCCGTGTAACTATGGTAAGAAAAAAAGTGTTTTCTTTGATTTTTCATCTCCAATGAGCAGTGTAGTTTATTCTTTAAAGAAAAGTTCGATATGGCATATTCAAAAGGGAGTGTTGTCGTGTAAGAAGTAAGATACGTATGTATTATGACAAGTATTTATTTGTGACTTTTTTCATTATCATTCTCCTCTAATTATCTCTTCCTATACAAACAGAACAAGAAAACAGGAAAGAAATAGAACGGCTATCTTTTTCCTTTAAATTAGAGTGAAAAAAGGAGTTTTTGAAAAACCGAAAGATGAAGTAGAAAATGAAGAAGTTTTTCATGATTTTACGAGCTTTCAGTGCTAATCATGCACCATCGTCAGGTGAGCACGTTAAAAAGATTTATTATGTTAAAATGAAATACAAAGTTGAATGATTATTAGGATAATGCAACTAGCTAGATTGAATTTCATTAAATCAAACAAATGAAGCAAGTTGAGATACTATGTAAATGCAACAAATCGAACGAGATCTTTTAAATAAACCAAGTAAAGATTGAAAGATTAAATTTGATGATGCAACGAGCTAGATTGAACTTCCGTCAAACGAATGAATCAGATTAAGATACTATTTTAATGTAACAAGTCGACCAAGATATTAAACTAATCAGAGTAAAGATTGAAGAATTAATTGGATGTCAACTGAAGAATTGAGTAAGATTGAAATAACTTATAGATTTAACTTCATTCAATCAACCGAGAGAGTAGATTGACGTTATATATCTGAGTTGTTGAGTAGAAGACAGAAATGAGATTGGAAATGGATTGAACGACTAAAGATAGATAATTGATTGAGGAAGATCGAAGATTTGACTGTGATTGAATAATTCAGTAAGATAAATTGAGATTTTAAATTAAATCGAATAAAAAGACTTGAGAAATCACGAAATTAAATAAACGGATTAATCATTTCACTGGATCGAATAGAATAGATTGAAAATTACAAATAATAATGAGTAAGTATGTTCATGTCGAATTCAATTGAACAAATTGCGATTTTAAATTAAATCGAATAACAAGACTGGAGAATTTACGAAATTGAATAATTAAATAAAAGGATTAATCATTTCACTGGATCGAATAAAATAGATTGAAAATTATAATTAATAATGAGTAAGTATGTTCATATTGAATTGAATAGAATAAATTGAGATTTTAAATTAAATCGAATAAGAAGACTTGAGAATTCACGAAACTAAATAAGAAGATTAAACATTTCCATGTATCGAATAGAATAGATTGAAAATTACAAATAATAACGAGTAAGTATGTTCATATCAAATTAAATTGAATAAAAAACGATTGAATTATTCATTTCCATTGGAATAAGACAAGCCAATAATTCTACATTTGATTAAAAAATGCACGTGTGAAATGAGATGTCGTTGATTGTAATGTTGTTAAACTTTTTCGTTAGTAAGGTTTCTTTTATTTCTCGTTTCCTCTCATTAGTATCTTGTGTGATTATAGTGACATCTTCGAAGAGAAATTTGTGATTGTACATTTTACTATGATTCACCAAATTACTATGTATTGCATTGCTACTATTGATGTTATCGCGGTGTTGTTTTATTCTCTCGTTTGCTGTCTTGCTGGTTTGACCTATGTAAATTTTATCGCATGCAGCACAATTAATACGATAAACTACCCCACTTTTATTCATGTTCTCTCCTTTCGTATTGCTGGTAAAGTAATCACCGATTGTTTTGTTTTTTTTTGAAAACTACTCTAGCATTAATCTGTGATTTTGTTAATAATCTTGTTAGTTTCCTACCGTATATATACGATTCTTGACCTAAATAACTAAGAACTATGTTGATTCTATCATTATTAATCCGATTGGCATGCTCATCGTACGGTAATTTGTTGGATATGTTGTAATTATGAAGATTTGTATTGATCACACTGTAGTGTTTGTTCACGTTGAGTGTATTGTTACTTGCAGGTTCATTCATTGATTTCTGTTGTAGATATTGACGGTTGGATGGTTCATTCGTATCATTCGTTAATGTATCGTTCCTCATCGAATCATTGACAGTTGATAAGACATTGGTGTTACTCAACCCATTCCCATCCCTTGATTGAAATGTTACTCTCGATCGGTTATCAATATTAGGTTCATCAGTCAATGGTATTATCAATGTTGAAGACGGTCCACCAACGATACTTTCCATCCGGACATTACTCTCACTCGATCTGAAAGTTGATGATGATTGTTGTAAGTTAAAACCGTTATTCAACGTTGTTAATCTATCATTCGGGCTTTTATCATTCAGATTCACGTAGAAGGTCTGTATACTCGATAGTACTTGAGAACTGTGGTGAACAATTGCACTTTTATTTGCACTGTTTGTGTGATGATTTTGACATTCGATATTACAATTATTTCTGTTGGGACAATCACCGCTTGTACTGTTCTTCGTGTCACTGTGCAAGGTGTTGGTACTAATGTTATCATTGATTAAATTTGTCATGTTGTTATTACCACTCTCTGGATCTGGATTATTACTACTAATGGGCGAGCTTGTGCTGTTCAATTCTCGTTCGTTTTCTCTCTGGATCGTATTGTTTTCGATGCTGATGGTTATTTTTCAATCAGTGCTTATTGTTATGCGAAAGAATTTGGTACAAATATGGGTGAATGTGTTTTTCTTCTATTGCGGTGATGTTTGTCGTTATCTACTAGTTGTGATGGATTGTGTTGTTGAGCGAAATCTTCTGAGAATCATTTTGGTTTAACTGAACCGTTTTCGCGGTTTTTGACGATACAGGAACTGATGCGAAGGATAGATAGAAGCGAAAATGATGTAAATATCTCTTTTCATCCTCTATTTATTCGTTTTTTAGAGCTGTTTATTTGTTGTTTCGTTTTTGAATAAACTGCTTGACAGATGTCAAATTTATGTATGAACGAATGATGTATGGCGAGAGATGGAGTTATTTACTGAGACATTTCTTCGATGTAATTTCATTGAATAAACATGACACAAGGAACGATCAAAAGCTTTGTTCACCTTTTGTATATATACCTTTGTTGATGGGAATAATTCGAATTTTTCTTACCGGACGATGGTGCATGATTAGCATCGAAAGTAGGCATGCACCAATACCAAAACTAGTTTTGAAATTTTGGTATTGAAGTCTTGGTTTTGATGTGGTTTTGATTTCAGTACTTTAGTATTGATTGGGTTTTGGTTTTGATCGCTTAGTTTCG